CCGGGGATATTGAGTACTGAGTAAGATTGGTGGAGTCCTATAGTTAGTTTGAGTACTGGCTTCGCAAGCGAGAAGATATGGGTTTGATTCCCAGGCATGGCGAAACGTTAGGCAAGTTTCCTTCCTCCACAGGCAATAAGTAGGAACCCAGATGACAGTCAATGGCAGATTGGTTTCCAGGGGTAATAATACCTTGAAATTTTTTTTAAAAAAAATTTGATCACTCAATCCATGACTGTTGTCATTGGCTACCGCATTTCGTCCACAAAATAGTGTCAATTCACTTTGTTCTGTGAAACGCTATGAAATGTCTCGAAGACGTGGCAAGGCATTATATCAAATATAAGGATTATTATTATTATATTGACTCTATTCCATTTTCATGGTCTGATAGTTGAAAGCTTACAGTCATGAAATAACGCCAGTTTCTGTAAACTTGTCAGCACAGGGTCACCAGAACATATTAGGGTTGATGTGACATTGATGTTCCCTTGGCAACTTTCTGATCAATATTCCAGATCTTGAATGTGGTTCACTATTGGCACAACCCCGTGTATACACCACCCACTCTCTGCCAACCTCTGCTCCGCACAGGATCCTGTTAGAGATTTATGATCTGGGTGAAAACTATGAGTGAAATCAGTGGGGAGTGACCAAATTATAACTATTATTATTTGTTTGTTTTTTTGGAAGGGTTATTACCCCGTCAATTTTCTAACAGCATCAACAACAAGATTTCATTTATAGAGCGCCTTTTACGTCAGGAGGACCTCACAAGGCGCTGGACAATTGGGTCAGGACCTGAGCAGGGGGGAAATGGTCAGGGTGAGGGGAGGGAGGGAGGGAGGGAGGGAGGGAGCGAGGAGGGGGTAGAGAGGGGAGCTGAAGGCACGGTCAAAGAGAAAGGTCTTGAGACCGGCCTTGAAGGAGGAAAGGGAGGAAGCAAGGCGAAGGCACTGGGGGATGGAGTTCCAGAGCCTAGGGGCTGAGAGGTTGAAGGCCCGGCCACCGATGGTAGGGCGGTTAGGGCGGGGGATGTGGAGCAGACTGGAGCCAGAGGAACGGAGGGTTCGGGCAGGTTAGGGGGATAGTAGGTCGGAGAGGTAGGAGGGAGCAAGGCCGTGAATGACCTTGGAGGTGAGGATGAGGATCTTGAATTCGATCCTCTGGGGGATGGGGAGCCAGTGGAGGCGAGCGAGGGTGGGAGTGATGTAGTCCCGAAGCCTGGTGCGGGACAGTACACGAGCTGCAGAGTTCTGAATGACCTGCAGCTTGTGGAGGGAGGTGCCGGGAAGGCCGGCGAGGAGAGAGTTCCAGTAGTCCAGCCTTGAGGTGATAAAGGCGTGGACCAGAGTTTCAGCAGCGTGAGGGGTGAGGTAGTGCCGTAGTGCGATGTTCCGGAGGTGGTGGAAGGCGGTGCCAGTTGTGGTGCGGATATGAGAAAGAAAGGACAGCTCAGGGTCGAACAGAACGCCGAGTTTCCTGACTGGCTTTGAGAGGTGGAGAATGCAGCCTTGGATGCTGATGCTGTCAGCGCCTGAGGTGCGGAGGTGCTGACGCGAGCCAATCAGGAGGGCCTCAGTTTTGCGGACGTTGAGCTGAAGAAAGTTGTCTCTCCTCAACTCCACCGATGTCGGACACGCAGGCTATCAGGACATCGGTGTTTCGAGGAGTTGAGGGTAGAGGAGGAAAGGTAGAGTTGGGTGTCATCCGCATACATGTGGAAGTTTACCTCATGACTGCGGATGATGTCACCAAGGAGGAACATATAGAGGGTGAAGAGGAGGGGACCAAGTACAGAGCCCTGAAGGACACCACACGAGACAGTGCGGGGGCTGGAGGAAAAGCCGTGTGTGGAAACAAAATGAAGACGGTGGGAGAGGTAAGATCTAAACCACTCAAGGACAGGGCCTTGAAGGTTGAGGTGGGAGGACAAGCGGTGGAGGAGGATAGCGTGGTCGACCGTATCGAATGCAGCTGATAGGACGAGGAGGCAGAGTGACCCCTGGTCGCAGATGGTCAAGATGTCATTGGTGACCTTGACCAGGGTGGTTTCTGTTCTATGGGCAGCACGGAAACCCAACTGAAGGGGTTCGAATAATGCATGGGTGGAGAGGAAAGAGCGCAGCTGGGAGGTGACAACCTTTGCAAGGACCTTGAACAGGAAGGGGAGGTTGGAGATGGGCTGGTAGCTTGAAAGCTGCGACGCATCAAGGGAGGGTTTTTTTCAAAGTGGGAGTGATGGTGGCAGTTTTTAGGGGAATGGGAACAGAGCCAGAGGAGAGGGACAAGTTGATGATGTCTGTGAGTAGTAGGGCAAGGAGGTAGAGCTGAGAGATAAGGAGTGGGGATGGGGTCAAGGGAGCAGGTGGTGGGTTTCAGGGACAGGATGAGTTTGGTGACAGAGGGTGGGGAAACGGGTTCGAAGGTGTGTAGGGGAGGATGGATAGGAGTCGGTATGTGGGAGGGAAGGGGTGGGGGATGGGTGGAAGTTGGAGGGGGAGTGACCGCGGAGCGGATTCTCTTGATTTTGGATTCAAGGAAATCCAGCATCTCCTCGCAGTGAAGGTTGGAGGAGATGACCTGCGCGAGGTGGTGGGGGTGGACGGAGGAGTTGGGATGTGGTAGAGAACAGAAGCGTTAGATTTTGAGGAGGTCCAGCCAGATTTGCCGGTGGACTGTTAAGCCAGATTTGAGGCAGGTGCATTCAACGGAGCGGAGGTGGGTGGTGAACCAGGGGGAGAAGCGAGAGTAGGAGACAGTACGGGAGGTGATGGGGGCAAGAGTGTCGAGTGTGGAGGAGAGGGTGTTGTGGAGGAGGGTAAGAGCAGAAGGGGGGTCAGTGAGTAACAATCAAGTTCCTATTTCCTGCTAGACAAACAGAGGCGTATGGAGTAAGGAAACTTACCTAACGTTTCACCCTGCTCGCCAATTAAACCCAGGTCCTCTCCATCAATCGACTAACAACCAGATTCCTACTTACTGCTAGATAACCAGAGCTGTGTGGAGTTAAGGAAACTTGCCTAAGGTTTCGCCCTGCCTGGGTGCTCTCGCTTGCGAGGCAAGCATGCTAGCCACTAACCACTACGCCACAGGACTCCTAAATTATTATTGACTATGGTGGTGTTCCGGGAATGTTCTGTGTCAGGCTTTGGGTTGGAAGAGGACTCAGTGGTGTGACAGAGCATGTGCGGAGCATGCTGCAGGGATGATATGAATGCAGAGTGTTGAAGGTCGCCCTGTGGGCAGCGATCACACCATTCCGCAGCCGCAGCCCTCACTCTGTTCTTTTAAAGCCTGGTATCTGCCTTCCGTGTGACTTGCATGCTTGGCCCTGGAATGTACAGTATGTGTTTATGCGGTTGTTAGATGCCTCGCTCTGCCATCAGCAAATCAGATGCACAAGACAGCACACATTCCACTCTGACCAGAGCGCATGTCACTTTGCTGAAGGCACAGGTTCCAGCTCAGAGTCAATACAGTGTTTGGAAAAGAAATGTAGCAAAATTGTACAGTTCCACAGCTGAAGGGTAATAGTTAGGGAGTCCTATTGTGAGGTACACAGCATATACCCCTCTGTGTGAGGTGCACAGCATTTACCCCTCTGTGTGAGGTGCACAGCATATACCCCTCTGTGTGAGGTGCACAGCATATACCCCTCTGTGTGAGGGGCAGTGTGTTCTGGGCATTGCATCAAATACAAATGTTATTGCAACACCCAATTTTTTTTAATAAAAGCGAGTCTCCACGCCCCTTCAATACCCGTGATAATTAAAACATTTTCACATATCAGTTTTCTTAAAAAGCACAAACTGCAGACGGTCCAAAACACATCTTAGACTGGGAGGTTTCTGAAGTTTTACTAAACAGCATAATGTGACGGAAATAAATGCTTTGCTCCATGTTAGGACTTTGAACTTGTACTTTCCACAATTAAATAAGCAGGGTGCGTCCCTCCAGAGAGAGTGTGCAACTTACATTCCAGACACAAGGGAGCAACAAACAGTATCTGGTTTGGATACTGCTAAGCACAGTGATTTGTTTTTTACATGTGTTAGACACCCGGACGACCAAAAAAAGAGATTTGCAGGAATCAATGAAAGAGCAAAGGGAAAGGTCCTAGTTTTAGCACAGAGAATTGTTAGGATGTAGAATGTCTGACCTGAAACTATGGTTGAAACAATATGTAACATCTTTAAAGGGGGATTAGATAAATATTTGAAAAAGAGAAGCACAAAAAAACAGAACATTGGGAATGGACAGATTATTCTTGCTGAAAACTAGCAAAGACATATGTGGCCAGTCTCGTGGTTTGATGTAAATTTCCAGGGTTCTGAATGGAAGGAAGCAAGATACACATAAAGAGAATCATTAAAGGAATCATAAGAGTGTACGAATTGCTGGATGAAAGAAGACCAAGGTCCATCCAGTTTGCCTTCCACCATCTTGGCAGTCGAATGCACATGTCATGTCTCAAACCATATCCTGTATCATGGGATATCATTTCCTAAAATAAATTTATCTGATTTGCTTTTGAAAGAATCAAAAGTTTATGCTCCCACTGTCTGCCTGTTTCATACATTTGCTACTCATTCACTACAGTAAACTTTAGATTATTTTTTTAACCAGCAAGGTGCCTGTTAGGTGCGGAAGCAATTTGAGACTTTATTTCGAAACTGGTGGCCACCTTTTTGTGAAGAGTTTCATTATTTAAAATGTTTCTGCCTTTTACTTTTGAATATTTGTCACCGCCTCCCAACCCCCACCTCTCTATAACACACAACACTGTTTGTGTATAACACACGCACAGCATCCCATACCATACAGCACTACCTGTGTATCAACACACATTGCGAGGCACTGTGTTTTACACTCACGCACCGTCCCACACAGCGCAGTGACCTCTTGTTTGTGTGACCATCTGGAAGTGAGCTGCTGGCCACTGGCTATACACATTGTATTAATTACCGAATGAACCCTGATACCTGCCTCTTTCTCAGACGTGCTCGAGATGCCAGACAATGGAGAACCTGAAGCCATCCGGAAAGCCAAAACACTGTACAAATCGTGCACCAATCAAAGTGAGTGTTCCTGCCCTGTGTGTGCCAGGTTTCCCCACAGTGCCAGAAGCACTCACAACACTAACCTCCCGATTGTGTTCCTGCAGCTGCCATTGAAAGTAAAGGTGGAGAACCATTGTTGGCCTTGCTTGAAGATGTATTTGACTGGCCCGTAGCCTCCGACGACTGGGATACGAAACACGGTAAGGTCAAAGGAACAAGCTCACAGACCAGTCTGACACTCCAGTGCAGAGCTGGGGGTGGAGCAGGAGCAGGAGCAGAGCTGTATTGTCAGAGGTGTTGTCTTCATTAAACTATATTGGCCTGAGATTCACATGTAAATGTAGCCTCAATGAAAGGGACTGTCTGAAACATAAGAACATAAGAATTAGGAGCTGATCTATTCTAACACCACCTACCCGCCTTATCCCCATATTCCTTAATCGCTTTATCCACAAGAAATCTATCAATCTCAGTCTTGAATATGTTCAAGGACTGAGCATCTACAGCCTTTCGGGGTAGAGAATTCCATAAATTCACTACCCTCTCTGAGTGAAGAAGTTTTTCCTCAACTCAGTGCGAAAGGGCTTACCCCAATTTTAAGACTGTGACTTCTGGTTATAGTTTCTCCAATCAGGGGAAAAAGTCTCCCACTATCTATTCTGTTGTACCCCTTCATAATCTTATAGGTTTCCATGAGATCACCTCTCATTCTTCTATATTTTAGAGAATATAGGCCTAAATTGCTCAATTTATCCTCATAACTCACCACCCTCATCCCTGGTACCAACCCAGTTAATCTACGTTGTACCCCCTCCAAGGTGAGTACATCCTTTCTTAAATAAGGAGACCAAAACTGCACACAATACTCTAGGTGCGGTCTCACCAGGGCCCTATACAGCAAGACTTCCCTACGTTTATATTCTAAACCTTTTGTAATGCCAACATACCGTTAGCCTTCCTAATTGCTTGCTGTACATGCAAACTAACTTTTTGTCTACTGGTGTACAAGGACACCGAAGTCCCTCTGAACGCTAATAAGAGGGGAGGGGATGGGGGTCAGAGAACGCTTAAGGCTGTGGGTTTTCTAAAGTGTCCCCGTGTCGTATCACAGTATTGTATTGTATTTCAGTCTGGCTCCGTGGTAGCACTGTCGTATACGAGTCAGAAGGTTGTGGGTTCAAATCCCACGTCAGGACTTGGGGACGTGTTGCATTGTCAGAGGATTCATTCTTCGGGTGAGATATTAAACCGAGGTCCCATCTGCCTGTCCAGGTGGATATTAAAGATCCCAAGACGCTATTCGAAAAGAGAAGGGAGTTTCTCTTCCTTGGAGTCCCGGCCGACAACCTCCCCTAAATTAATTGATCATTTACTTCCTACCCACACTCACGTACACACAGGACAGTATTCTCACACACAACTAGTTGCATTTATGTAATGCCCTTCACGGGAGGGTAGCTTCTCGCTTAAACACGCACACACATACAAACATGTGCACATGGGATCAAGCTGTGTAGCTTCTAATGATCTATACCTGCATGAGGATGCTGGGTGGTTACTCTTTCTGTCCCTCTATTTAGGTGGCAACTGGACGTTTGAGAAAGCTATCGGGAAGCTGAACAGGAAGTACGGCAAACGGTATTTAGTGGACGTTTTTGTTGGAACAGACGACAAAAACTCGAATGCGTATATTCTTCACGTAGGTTCCCCCTCGGTCACATTCATTCCCTTCAAATACTGTCTTTTTTCTCCTGTCGATGGCCTGTCATCACAAAGTAACTCCAAAATCAGGGAGCCACTTTGAATCGGTGGCAGATTGGACTTGTGTTAAAGTTCCTTATTATATTCTCAAAAGCATCAGAAATATGCTTTAGATTCAAGGAAATGCAGTAATCTCATTAATGTATCTTCATGTATAATGTGGGGGTGTGTGGGTTTGTGGGGGGAGTGAGGGAGCATCAACACTAAAACCAGACAATGTGATAAAACTGCTTATACCGCTCAGGAGTGTGTGCTTCCTGGGTACAGTGATCTCTTCTAGCTGCAGCTCATTCTCTCCTTCCCATCCCGGGGGCTATAAAGAATTAAATTTAAAAAAAAGAATTTGGTCACTCAAACCATGACTGTTTGTGGGACACGACTGTGCTCAATCGGCTGCTGTGTTTCTCCCACAAAATACACAGTCAATTCATTTTACAATATATTCTGTGAAGCGCTTTGGGACGTCTCAACGACGTGATAAGGTGCTGTATCAAATGCAAGGATTGTTATTAGCAGGCGTAACATATTGTTCCTTGTAAAATTGGAAAAAAAGGAGGAAGACTGTTGAACTAAAATGTCTTTGGAATAACGATGATGAGGCCACACACAATATGAAAGGAGTCACTGCCACACACTAACTGTTCTTTCTTTCTCTGTTGGAACGGAAGATCGATCAACCGTCTCTGGGTCTGCCTTCCCAGGACTATTATGTGTGCACGGGTGTCTATGAGCAGGTACCCAGGTTTTATAACTCTGTTTTGCTTTTATCTGCTATATTGCAATTTCCCAATTACTGCTTACACATGGTCATAATACTGTTATAACAACTGGCATTTACACAGCGCACTCATGCTAAAATAGAAGTCTCAAAGCACTTTGCTTACATATCCAATAACGCACCTTGCATATATATATATATATATATATATACCAACGTCCCATAAACAGCCACAAGGTGAAACCTTACAGGAAACCCCTGATAACTCGTCACTCCAAGGGAAAAAGGGCTCATCGATGAGTTATCCAGAGTGGCGAGTTAGTCGTATGTATAAATATATAAAAAATGCACCCAGGATATTGACAGCATGATCACTTAACTCGTCCCTGGTTAACTTGTCACTACGATTTATCAGGAGTTAACTGTATATGACCAGTATAACTAGTACCGTGACTTCAAACATGACATGATAAGGTGCTACATCCAACCCTAGGATTATTATTATTAACCAGCGAATGATAAACAACAGATGCAACTCAAAAAAGCTGTCCAATGAGAGAATGTAGCCCTTTGATAATGTAATGGTGTGCTGCCGTCTGAGACTTGGACTGTGGGACACTTTAGATATCTGGCGAGCTGCAGCTTGGAAGTGCTATCCAGTACCAGGGCTGGCAAACCTGCTCCGATTACAGACAAACACTTCCTGTGCTTTTCTAACATCCACTGTAAGCTCCCTGGAACTGACTCTAGAGCTGTTTAGACCTGTCCGTTCCTTCTGCTCAGCAGGCTCCAGCCTAATCCAAGTCCCCCACTCAGCCCACCCACCATCTATGATCGGGCCTTCATCCTCTCTGCCCCCACCCTTTGGAATTCCATCCCACAGTACCTTTGCCGTGTCCCCTCCCTTGCCTCCCTCAAGACTCAAGACACTCCTCTTCAACCAGGCCTTCGGTCGCCTCCTATCCCCACCCTCTCTGCCTTTAACCCCTTCTGATCCCAATCCCCTGTTCAGTCCAAATCCCTGACTGCCCAAGTCCTTGGGATGTCCTCCCAATGTGAAAGGCAACTATAGAATGTAATGTAATTTGGTGATGGTGTTGCTACTTTTACACGGGTCAGCTTGGGCTTAATTTATGTTGCCTGACATCATGTGCGGCTCTGATAGCACCACGATTAGGGAATGAGGTGGACCCCTGTCTCCGGGGGATAACTGCATCCCTGTGACATGGCTTTTCAGATGCTCTGATGCAAACGGTCGTGAAGCAAGGTAACTCAGATCAGGAGCAGAGATTGCTGAGTCCGACCTCTGGAAAATATTAACTCACTCTCAGCGCGCCATGACTTGCCAGAGCTCCTCAGTGTGTGAACTCAGTTGTTTTTAGTGAACCCAGTGACTGGGGTTAAGAGTAGGACAGTCCAGATTTCAGATAATCATGGTTTCCCACAAACACCAGGTCTCTGGAGGCTACGTGGTATTTCTTTCAGGGTTTGGCCAAAGTGCTTGCACACTACAAAAGGAAATGGGGAGGTGAACAGGAGGTCAGGCTGTGTGCTGCCAGCCTGGCTAACGTTTCCACATGTTCCCACAGGCTGCCTGGTTCAGTCTAACTTGGAGTATTAATACTCAGTGCACACAGTATTTGCAGAGTTGTGTAAAGTATCAGTTAGAGTACCTGCCTCACAAGTGAGAGGAGCCGGGTTCAATTCCCGGACGGGGAGAAACCTTAGGCAAGTTTTCTTACTGCACACGCCTCTAGCACTAAGTAAGAACTCGCTTGTTAGTTGATTGGTGAATCACTTTCCGAGGGTTAAAGGGTTATAATCCCTTCAAAAGTTATAATAATAACTTTGTCACTCAATCCACCACTGCCCACAGCACGGAAACAGCCCTGGTCAAAGTCACCAATGACTTTCTGAACATCAGTGTTCAGGGCTCCCTCTGCCTCCTTGTCCTCCTCGACCTCTCTGCCGCCTTCGACACTGTCGACCACTCCATCCTCATAGACCACCTCTCCTCTTTAATCTTCGCAGACCTGCCCTTGTCTGGTTCGATTTCTATCTCTCACCATCTCCACTTTGTTGCCTCTAAAGGTTTCTCCTCCAGCCCCCACACTGTCATGTCTGGCATACCCCAGGGCTCTGTCCTTGTCTCCGCTTTAATATCTACATGCTCCCCCTTGATGACATCATCCGCAGACATGGGATCAACTTCCATATGTATATGGATGACACCCAACTCTATCTTTCTGCCTCCACCCTCAACTCCAAGACCACTGCTGTCCTGACAGACATCAAGTCCTGGATGAGGGCAAATTTCCTACAGTTGAATGTGAACAAGACTGAGGCCCTCCTGATTGGCTCGCGCCAGCGCCTCTGCACCTCAGGCTCTGGCAGCATCAACCTCCATGGATGCACACTACAACTCACCAAGCCAGTCAGGAACCTAGGTGTCTTGTTCGACCCTCAACTGTCTTCTTCCCCACATCCAACCCATGACCCGCTCTGCCTTCCCTCACCTCCATAACATCCCCCGACTCCGCCACTACCCCACCCCTCAGGCCGCTGAAACTATTGTTTACCTCCAGACTCGACTATGCAAACGCCCTACTTGTCGGCCTTCCCAACTCCTCCTCCACAGGCTGCAGATAATCCAGAACTCTGCAGCCTGTGTCCTCTCCCACACCAAACTCTGTGACCCCATCTCTGGCACGACTCCATTGGCTCCCTATCCTTCAGAGGATCCAGTTCAAGATCCTGGTCCTCACCTACAAAGCCCTCCATGACCTCGCCCCACCCAACCTTTGTGAACTCCTAACCCCCTACCAACCCGCCTGCTCCCTCTGTTCAGCCGGCTCTGGCCTGCTCCACGTCCCCCAACCCACCCACCCCATCATTGGTGGGAGAGCCTTCAGCCACTCTGCCCCCAGCCTGGAATTTCATCCCCCAATCACTCTGCCTCGCCCCCTCCTTAGCCTCCTTCAAGTCCCGCCTCAAAATCCTCCTCTTTGACCATGCCATCAGTCACCCCCCTTCCTCTCCCCTCTCCTCCACTGACCCCAGCTAGGGTCTGAAATGCTATATATTGTCTAGCCCCTTAGGACGTCCTCCCGACGTGAAAGGCACTATACAAGTGTAATCTTGTTGTTTGTGGGTCAGTGCTGTGTGAAATTGGCTGCAGCATTTTGCCCACAAAGTATAGTCAATTTACAGTATATTTGTGATAAAAGGATTATTATCATTATATTATTATTACCTCCTTCAACAATACATCACTCACCATTACATTCCTCAGCAGGACAAGCCATTGCCTGCAGCACTGAGTTGCGACATGCTTGTTTGTGCCATTAATGAAAACCATCTTTGGGCTCTTGCTGCAGTGCTAATAAGCTACTAATGTTCCAGTTACTCCTCATTACAGATTACAAAGATCACACGAGCAGGGCAGGTCCCCAGAGGCTCAGCTATTTCCCCTGCCAGATAATTGTTCCATCTCCAATGATGACTTTCTCTGGTTCCCATTAAGCTTAGATTAGGCATGAGGTAGCTTCACTCAGTCAGTGTGTACTCTGGCTCTACTGACACACCAAATGTTGGGATTCCAGAAGCAGTCATCAATTCTCCATTGGAGGCTTCAGCTCCAGACAAACCAACTGGAGTAGGAATGGATCTTATTTTCCAAACTCCCAATTCCAATCTAATTGACATTATGTCATTGACTTGATGTTAGTTGGGCCACTCTCAGCAAAGCCAGGCAACCACTCGCTCTACTCAGGACAAGAGATAACCATAAGCTCTGAGATGGTACCCTGCGTGAATGGATGCTATATGAACATGGAAAGTAAAGTTTCATTCTCTAGTCATTGTTTAAATTCCTTTTAAATACTTTCAGGACATTAGTTTTCAACAAAACTAATGACAGCAAGCTGCAATGTTCCAGATCATGATTTTAAAGGCTTCCTTGCTTTCTTTCTCTGTCAGCCTGGCTCAGTTGGTAGCATTCTCGTCTCTGAGTCAGAAGGTTGTAGGTTCAAGCCCCATGTCGGTACTTTAAGCTCACAGGCTAGGCTGACACTCCAAGCAGCACTGGGGGAGCAGAATATTGTCAGGGGTGCCGTCCTTTGGCTGAGACATTCATCCAAAGTACTGTCTGCCTATTCAGGTTGGACGTTAAAGATCCCATGGCACTATTCGAAATAAGAAAGGTGTTTCTCTTGGTGCCCTGGTCAACAACCCCCCAATAAAATTGGTCAATCACTCCATGGCTATTTGTGGGATATTGCTGTGCCCAAATAGGCTGCTGAGTTCACCTATAAATACACCAGTCACTGCAATTTACATTCAATCCTGTGAAGCGCTTTAAGACGTCTCAACCATGTGAGCCCTATATTCAAACAAAGATAATTGCAATGAGGGGTGAAAAGTGGTGTATCAGAATCTCAGTAAAATGAAATAACTGATCACGCACTAGCTTGAAAGACTTTCGGAATTGATCGATTGCGAAATGCTGGTTTATTTTTCCCTTTGCTGCTCTGTGAGGTTTTAGTGCGATTACGAATTGCTGATCAAGACTCGTTTCTTCTCCACAGGCTTGCAAAGCGTACCTTGCGTTCATGATCAAAGTTGTCAAGCAGGTTCGCAAGGACAGAGGCTTAAATGCAAGCGAATCAGTAATCAAAGCTGAAATGATTCGAGTGATGGATCTGGAGAAAGAAATTGCCAATGTAAGAGTGTGTCTTTCCTGCTTTAATGTTAGGTTGAGAATAAGGACTACAGAACTGGCCCAGTTCATTGTTTGTCTCCAGAACAATGTTCGTCTCCAACACTGTTAATGGTGAGGGGCAACAACACAAAGGAAAATCAAGCACAGTATAGACAACATTAGCAGGGAAGCAAATAAGAAATTAAAACCTCTTGGTGAGTCCAAAACAAAGTATAAACAGATCTAAGAGAGAGTTCATAGAATCGTACAGCACAGAAGGAGCCCATTCAGCCCATTGTGCCTGTGCCAGCTCTTTGAAAGAACTACCAACTGATCCCACTCCCCCACGTTTACAGCAGGGCTCTGCAAATCCTTTTCAGGTACCTATCCAATTCCCTTTTGAAAGATGTTATTAGCTCTGCTTCCACCACCCTTTCAGGCAGTGCATTCCAGATTTTAAACTCGTGTGTAAAAAAAAATCTCTTTGTCTCCCCTCTGGTTCGTTTGCCAATTATCTTAAATCTGTACCCTCTGGTTACCTACCCAACCACTAGAGGAAACAGTTTCTCCCTATTTACTCTTATCATGGAGTCCTGTAGCTCAGTGGTTAGAGCACTGGCCTTGCAAGCAAGAGGACCTGATTACGATTCCTGGGCAGGACAAAATGTTGGGCAAGTTACCTTATTCCACATGTCCCCAGCCCTAGCAGTAAACAGGAACCCGGTTGTTAGTTGATTAGTCGATCGCTTTTCCGGGGAAAATAATTCCTTCAAAAAATAAAGAAGTAAATAATGTGGTCACTCAACCCACAAACGTTTGTGAGACACTGCTGTGCGCAATTGGCTGCTGGGTTTCACCCACAAAATATACAGTCAATTCACTTCACAGCATATTCTGTGAAGTGCTTTCAGACGTCTCGAAGACGTGAGCAGGCACTATATTAAATGCAAGGATTATTATTATTAAGCTTGGAGCTAATTTGGATTTTGTGTGTAGCGATGTGGGTTGTTACTGGTTCAATATCGCTGCTGTATTGCTAGGCCAAAACCAGAGAAGAGGACAGAAACGACCCCAATAAACTGTACCACAAGATGTCTCTGTCAACAGTCAGCAGCAACCTCTCCCTGGAAATTAATGGCAAGGTAAGTCTTCCCCCTGGGGGTGGTGAAGCGAAGTGGGAGGGGAACATGGGGAAAGTGTGGTCGTCAAGAAAGCCAGAGATATAGAACACACTGCTGGCCTAAGTTTGTGGTGATTCCGCCTCTCTGTCCCGCCGTTTGGAACTCCACCCCACAGTCCCTTCGCCTCGTTCTCTCCCTTACCTGCTTCAAGACCAGTCTCAAGAATTTCCTCTTCGATTGCACCTTCAGCCACCCTCGTACCCCTACACTCCACCCCTCCTGATCCCATCGGCCAGCTCCAAATCCCTGACTGTCCAGTGCCTTGGAAGTCCTCCCGACAAGAAAGGCATTATACAAATGTAATTTGTTGTTGTTGTTTCATAACCCACTGCGCATCCAAAATTCTGTCTGGTCTTAGCCTGCAAGACCATTTTACGATTGTGTAGAATCGAGGAAGAGTCTTAATAAGGTCTTTTGTTTTGGCTGAATTAAAGAATTTTCAACAATTTTATATTTTCATGCAGAATGACCTACGGGCTAAGACTGGTTGAACTTTCAGGCCTAATTTACGTAAATTAGCACAACTCCTACGTTAGGTAATATCGTAAGTTTAGGACCAATACCCACCTATATTTTGCCTCCAGGTTCTATAGCAAGCACTTCAGCTGAGGTATAGAACATGTTGGACACAGGGGAAAGCTATTCCTTCAAAGCTATACCTTAAAGATCCCGTGGCGTTACTCAAAAAGAAAAAGAGTTTCTCTCTCCCAGTGTCCTGGCAGACAATCCCAAGATAAAACTGGTCACTCATTTCATGACTGTTCGTGGGACATTGCTGAACGCCAATTGCCTGTACCATTCGCCTACAAATACACAGTCATTGCACTTCACATTACATCCTGTGCAGCACTTTGAAACTTCCTCCTGACTTAAAAGGGGCCTATGCCAAATGTACAGATGATCATTATTATTTGATTGAATGGCTCATGTGGAGAAAAGCACCAGTATAGGCAGAGATGCTGGACTGAATGCCTCATAGGAACAGAGGAAAATAGGACAGGAGTAGGCTACTCATCCCCCTGAGCCTGTTCCACCATTCTATTAAAACCATGGCTGATCTGTACCTCAACTCATATTACTTGCCCCATGTCCATTGATACACTTAGCAAATTTCCATCCACCTCAGTCTTAGATCGTTTTTGTGCTCCAAATCTTCTGTGGTCCAGGGAAATGATGAGCAGCAATGTGTTTACGTGCTTATACACTTACACACTTCTGGGAGTGCACACTTTTCTGCGTTTACGAGAGCTGGAATTTTTCCCAAAAGCATGTGTTTATTGAGATGCGAAACAGGGTCAGATTTTTGTTAACCCTCAGCAGTTTTAATCCAGACAGTGAACTCTTCCCACCTTGCAAGCAAACTTGTCTTGTCGGAGAAAGCTGGCGAGACTTAATCTGCAACAGCTGCAAGCTTCCAGCCTTTCTCATAGCATTTTTTTCCTTTTCTGTAGCCATTTGACTGGAGAGGTTTCATTAATGAAATCATGTCTGCGGTGCCCTTGGAGGTGTCCATGGAAGAACCAGTGGTTGTGTACGCACCAGAATATTTTGTGAAACTAGCACCAGTGCTCAAAAAATACACACCCAGGTACGTGTGTCACTGTTACTGAGCAGAGAGCAGTGTCAGTGTAAGAGCGCAGCCGGTATAAACACCTAAGCTGATTCTTTCTGTCCCATGTAGAGAAATTCACAACTACGTGATTTGGCGCCAAGTCATGGGCTTCATAAATAGCCTGAGTTCAGCCTACAGGGAAACCAGAGTTGCTTACCGCAAGGTACGTCATGTTCATTGCATCTAGAATCTCTCTCGCTATACAATACAATGTCTTGTCTGCCTGTTTAAGTGGACATTAAAGATCCCATGGTACTATTGGAAAAGAGAAGAGAGTTTCTCTGTCCCAGTGTCCTGACCAACAATACCCCAGATGAAATTGATCATTCATTTCATAACTGGTCTGTGTGGGACATTCCTGGGTGCAAATCGGCTGCTGCATTTGCTGATGAAATACAAGGTCGCTGCACTTCCAGTAAAATCCTGTGAAGGGTTTTGTAACATGACAGCCACATGATAAGGAGTTGCATCAAACGGAAGGATTATTGTGCCACACTAAACTCCATACCCCCATCACGTCAGTCCTCGCCAGACTCCACTGGCTCTCTATCACCGAACAGATCGATTTTAAGATTCTCTCACTCTTCAAATCCCTTCATGCCCTGTCACCTCCTTACCTCTCTGACCTGCTTACTCCCGAACCCACTACCTGCTGCCTCCACTCAACTGGCTCCAGTCTCTTGCTTGTCCCTTGTGCCCTCCGTTCCATCATTGGTACTATGGAACACTTTTCCTCTATCCCTCAGCCTTGCCCCCTTCCTTCCCTATCTTCAAGTCGCTCCTGAAAACCTTCCTCTTTAACTGTGCATATGGTCACTCCCGCGCCCCCTGACTCAGCATCGTGCTCCGCCACTGTCAAGCGCTCTGCGCCGCTACCCTGCGTGAGGGGCACTATATAAATGCAAGTTGTTGTTATTATCTTGGCTGCCGCTGACTGTGTTATTCGCAGGCACTTTATGGAACAACGTCAGAGAGTGCAGTGTGGCGATCTTGTGTCAATTATGTCAACAACAACATGGACAAGGCAGTGGGGAGACTCTACGTGGAGCAAACATTTAGTGCGGAGAGTAAAGATATGGTAACATTTCACACAGCGTTCATTCAATGCACATGTGTACTTTCCACTTTTGTGGAGTCTCATAGTATACTGGTTAGAGCGCTAGCATTGCACCAAGAGAACCTGGGTTCGATTCCCAGGCAGGGCGAAACATTAGGCAAGTTTCCTTACTCCACATACCTCTGTTTACCTAGCAGTAAGTAAGACAGTTGTTAGTCAATTGGCTTTTCGGGGAGTAATAATCCCTTGAAAAAAAAGTCACTCAATCCATAACTGTTTATGAGACACTGACGGGTTTTGCCCAAAAATATGCAGTTAATTCGCCTTACAATATATTCTGTGAAGTGCTTTGAGATGTCTCAAAGACCTGATAATTATTACTATTATCTTGTAAGAAACGGGCAGAATACAGCCTGAATGGCGAGGCTGGTTATGTGCCCCCTTCGCTTCCCACAGGTGGAAGAGATTATAGAACAGATTCGCCAAGTCTTCATTCAGACCCTGGGTGACCTCAGCTGGATGGACCAGGAAACCAAAGACAGAGCAGCGGAAAAGGTAAGTGCCTTTCATTGTGATCACTGTACGTCACTGATTTTACAGGTACGGTACGGACCGAGCTCACAGGCCAGCCTGGCACGCTGCATAGATTTCATAGAATCGTAGAATCTAACAGCACCCATCATAATTTTGAACACCTCTACTAAATTTCCCCTTCACTTTCTCTGCTTTAACAAGGACAGAGCTGGTTAAAAGCTGGTTAAACTCCAGCAGTTACTTCATACACACTCGGGTCCTCCTAGCCTTGGATCTGGCCAATTTGAGCCTAATTCTCTCTCGATTCGTAATCAGGGTGCATTCTTCCAAGGAGAGACTGTGCATTCCATTCCCCACACAGGGAAATCCTACTCCCCACACGTATGTAGAATTCTCAGTCTGGTTTGGTTACTCTCGTGCAAGGTGATTGGTTTCCCCGGACACCCAGCTAACCAAAAAAAATACCTTCCCAATACACATTCTGGGTCTCAAAGCCTTCTAAGTATATGTGGAATTCTAAGCAGTTTTGTACAGTATACAGGAGTATACACGGTACACAGTAATACACACAGAATATATAGCAATACACACTGTAATATACCAGTACACGCAAAATATATAGCAATACACACAGTATACAGTAATACATACACGGTGCACAGCAATATACACATAATATACTGCAATACACACATTATAGAGTAACACAATATAATTATAATTACAATATATTGGTAATATATGACTATTATATAACACACACACTGTGTTTTTTCCCCAGGCCCGGGGTATAAACCCGAGAGTTGGATATCCCACTTTCCTCAAAGATGATGATAAACTGAATGCTGAGTACAAAGACGTGAGTCATTTTAATCCGTTTATCATTTTTGGAATAGTCCTTCGGATTAAATTTTAAACCCAGGTCCCATCTGCCTATTCAGGATGTTACAGATCCAATGGCACTATTCGGGAAGAGAATTTTTCTCATCCAGTGTCCTGGCCAATAATTCAACAAATAAAATTGGTCACTCACTCCATGGCTGTTTGTGGGACACTGTTATACACAACTGGCTGTCACATTTCACCCATAAAATACACAGTCAATCCACTTTACAATATATCCTGAAGTTTCAACTATGTGATAAGGCGCTGCATCAAAAGCAACGATTATTATCTGGGGATCAAGATCCACAAATCTCTAAAAGTAGCTACGCAGGTAGACATGGCGATAAAAAGGCCATTGGGTCTTGGGTTTGTTTGGTCAAACAATTCTCCTCATCTCCCATGCACAGCTGGATTTCAAGGAGGACGAATATTTTGAGAACATACTCAAACAATTGCTGTTTGTACAGAGGAAGAATTTGAAAGAACTTCGAAAGAAGGTAGACAAAGAAAAGTGAGTAACACATCCTGAGTGTGCACATTCCACACACAAAATCTTCCTCACTCCTCCCCGACATGCTGCCCACAGTAAATCCTATGAAGCGCTTTCAGACATCCGGTAGATGTGAAAACGCTGTATAAAATGCAAGGAATAATATTGCTGTTTATAACTTTGTTCTCAGGTGGCTGTCTGGCGTCGCTGTTATAAATGCTTTCTACTCCACAAACAGAAATCAAATAGGTGAAAGTCTTTACATTTTGTTCTAACTCGATTGCGTATTGTAGCATATTGGTTAGAGCATTCACTCCGCAAGCGAGAGGCCCCGGGTTCGATTCCCGGGTGGGGCAAAACCTTAGGCAAAATTCTTTACTCCATACGGCTCTTGTTTACCTAACAGTAAGAAGGATCCCGATTGTTAGTCGATTGGCGAATCGCTTAAAAAAAATCCCCAAATCCAGTAAATTTCCTAGCGGTAAATAGGAACTTGGTTGTTAGTTGATTGGCAGATCAATTTTTTGGTTACTCAATCCATGACTGCTTGTGGGACATAGCCGTGTGCAACTGGCTACCACATTTGACCCACAAAATATAGTCAATTCACTTTACAGTGTATTCTGTGTAACGCTTTGAGACATCTCGAAAACATGATGGGCATTGATATCAGGAGGGGTGGAGGGCAGGGAGGGTAGGGATATGAGGGTTACAAAAGGCACGATCGAAAAGATGGGTCTCAAGATGCATCTTGAAGGAGGCAAGGGAGGGGGCAAGTAGAACGGATTATAAAATAGAGTTGCAGAGGGTGGGGTCAGAAAGGCTGAAGCCCAACCCGCGATGGTGGGGTGGGCCGGGCGGGGGGATGTGGATCAGGAGTCCGCCCAGTGGAGGGAGTGAGCAGATTATCAGTTGGAAAGAAAAAAAATTCAAATGTGAAAGACTGAAGTTCTTCTGTTACTAGTTTTCCCAGCAGGAATTCTTCAGCCGCCCTTCTTTGGAAAAGGACAGACTGCACCCTTAAACTTTGGTGCCATTGGCATGGTGATTGGCCACGAAATCACACACGGCTTTGATAACAATGGTAAGAGCGTGAGATTGGAACACTATGGAACATTCACCTTCTATCCCTTCTCCTTACCCCATTCTCCCGCATCTTCAAGTCATGCTTGAAGGACTTCCTTTCCAATCGTGCCTATGGTCACCTCCCCATCTCCCCTCCATCTCGGCATCGTGCTCCACCACTGTCAAGCTCTCTGGGACTCTACCCTGCGTGAAGGGCGCTATATAAATGCAAGTTGTTGTTGTTCTTGTTGTTGTTGATCACTCTGGTTGTCGCAGAGCCTTGGCCTGGTCACATGTCCCTCCTTCAATTGAGTTGCCATTGCGAGGTGTCAGGCTGACTCAGTGGGTAACACTCTCGCCTACAAGGTTGTGGATTTAAGCCTCACAATGAGACTCTGAACTCATCGTTTAGTCTGATAATCCAGTGCAGTGCTGGAGGAAGCCCTGCATTGTTGGAGGCACCATCCTTGAGATGAGACATTAAACGAGGACCCGATAACCTGTTCAGGTGGACGATAAAGCTCTCATGGACTACTCAAAACGGAAGGGAGTTTCTCCCAGTGTCCAGGTCATTCACTGCATGGCTGTTTGTAAGACATTGCTGTGCGCAAGTTGGCTGCCACGTTTGCCTACAAATACACAGTCACTACACTTTATAATAAGTCCTGAAGTGCTTTGAGATGTCTCGACCTGATGAGGGGTTTTATCAAATGGGAGAATTTTTATCATTAATATTAATTGCAGGTCGTAACTTTGACATGGAAGGAAACCTGTTTAAGTGGTGGAGTGGCCAGTCTGCCAAGAAGTTCAACGAGCTGTCACGGTGCATGGTGTCCAAGTACAGCAACTTTTCCTGGGATCTGGCAAACGGTCAGATGGTATGTCAGCTGGCACCGTATACTGTTCCTGATAGAATGAATTGGCATGCACCTTCGTTCATATGATGCTGGAACTGATGATGGGTCTGCCCCCAAACACATCCTCAAGATACTTTCATTCTGCTAACACCTAATGCCAAACTGTTTGGACAATAGCTCTTCTCAGAGGCAATGGCCTATGATTGCCACACTGGCTGCCAGGTTTGCCTACAACTACACAGTCACTACACTTTATAATAAGTTCTGGAAGCACATTGAGGTGTCTCGACCGGATAAGATGCTGTATCAAATGGGAGAGTTATTAATATTAATTGCAGGTCATAACTTTGACCAGAATAGAAACCCGTCTCGATGGTCATTCAATCCATGACTGTTTGTGGGACACTGCTGTGTGCAATTGGCTGCTGCGTTTTGCCCACAAATCATTACAGATAATTCACTTTACAGTATATTCTGTGAAGCACTTTGAGACGTCTCAACAACATTAAAATTACGCTATATTAAATGCAAGGATTATTATTATTTGTTTGTTTGCTTGTTTAGCTGAGTGGAATCAATACTCTGGGAGAGAACATTGCAGATAATGGCGGCATCAGACAAGCCTACAAGGTGAGATTGCCTGGGATTGTGTGATAAATAGTCAATTTCTGTAGTACACTATGGAGTGGAACTCGGGAGTAGTACCTCCAATATCTGGGCTAGCATTCACCCATTACGCTCCGAAACTCTGGAACAGTGTCCCTCAATCGTTCCGCCTTGCCCCCTCTCTTCCCTTTTTCAAGTCCTGTCTGAAAACCTTCCTTTTTGACCGTGATTAGGGTCACCTCCCCACCCTCAGCTCGGAGTCAGGCTCCGCCACTGTTAAGCGTTCTGAGACACTACCCTTCGTGGAGGGTACGGTATAAGTGCAAGTTGTTGTTGTAGTGCGTCTACACTGTGAAGTTACATCAGATACATCTTGGTGCAGGAGGGGACACAAACTCTACAGCTCGTGTTCTCTCCCTCACCAATCTCCGTGACCTTATCACTCCCACCCTTGACCGGCTTCACTGACTCCTCGTTCCCCAGAGGATAGAGTTCAAAATCCTCATCCTCGCTTTCAAAGCCCTCCACGGCCTTGCACCTCCTTTTGACCTGCTAACTCCATAACGATATGTCCAATCTCTCCGCTCAGCGGACTCTGGCCTGCTCCATGTCCCCCACCCAGCCCGGTCCACCATCGACAGTTGAGCCTTCAGCCTCTCTGCCCCCACCCTTTGGAACTCCATCCCACAGTCCCTTTGCCTTGCTCCCTCCCTTGCCTCCTTCAAGGCCCATCTCAAGACTTTCCTCTTTGACCGTGCATTCACCCGCCCTTCCACCCCCCTTGATTTCAACCCCCAGCTCAGGTGCAAACCCTTTAACTGTCCTCCCGACGTAAAAGACGCTGTATAAATGTAATTTTGTTGATGTTGTTGATGCTTTTGTGTGGCCTCTGAAATACTCACACAAAGCCTAAAATAGGACAATGAGGACAATTTTCTCCCAATGGGTGCTTTCAGCTGTCTGTAATTTACGGAGCTCACTGAGCCTCACACTGGCTGTATGTGGTGTGTGACCTGTGCTGTGTTACCTCGCCAGGCTTATCAAAGCTACATAAAGAAGAATGGGATAGACAGTTTACTGCCTGGGCTCTCGCTGAACCACGAGCAGCTTTTCTTCGTGAACTTCGCACAGGTAACACTGCATGGAGATCATGTAACATGGAGTTGCTATATACATCATGTGTGTACTGTACACGCCTATTGACCCACATGATGCATGGACAGCACACACCTGTATAGACTGTATATCAGTGAACAGAACGGCTTTGTGTTGGCAGGTGTGGTGTGGGACATACCGGCCAGAATACGCCCTCAACACTATCAAAACAGACATGCATAGTCCTGGCAACTTCAGGTCAGTTCACCCTGCTCTCTGAAATCTAGTACATTTTACAAACTGCAATCTGTAAAATCTGTGAAATCTTTAAGATTTGTGAAATATGCGAAATCTAACCCTCTCCTGTGACCACCTCCCCCCCCACCCCTCCAATACACACATACACACGCCGCATTCTCTACTCCCTTCCCTCGTTCAAAACGCGTCTTAAGAAGTATCTCTTGGGACTGAGCTTTCGGTCATCTTCTCCACCCCCTTGGAGCAGGAAGATGATGGGACAGAGGTGTGTGGAGTATGGAAACTTGCCTACGGTGTAATAAGTAGGAACCCGGTTATTAGTTGATTGGCAGATCAACCTTGAAGGGTAATAATCCACCAGCACCCCCAAAAAACATGTGATCACGCACACCCCGAATGTTTGTGGGACACTGCTGTGCGCAATTGGCTGCCGTGTTTCACCCACAAAATGTACAGTCAATCCAACAGTATATCCTGTGAAGCGTTTGAGTTGTCTCGATGACGTGATAGGTCGCTATAACAAAAGCAAGGATAATTATTATTATTTGAAAGATTTGACTCTGGTTTCCTCTTGAATTACAGAGTTATAGGTTCCCTGCAGAATTTTGAGGCGTTCAGCAATGCCTTTCACTGCCAGAAGAACGCAAATATGAATCCGCAAAAGAAGTGTCGGGTTTGGTAGCTGGGGTGCCAGCCCCGAGTGTGGCGCTCTCAGGCTCATCACCGGCCGGACTTTGGGAGTGATTGGCACATCCATCTGCTGGGATGTTACTTTCTGATGAGAATGATCCACATTTGCCAAACCTCTGAGATCAGTCAATGCCAAGGGCTGCCCCACCTGCAGTTTCTCTGCTAAACTGGATTTGGAGCACGTCAGTTTGTGACGGTACCATAAACACTGCCAATCACCACACTACTCGGTGTGTTCAACCCTGTAACTGCCAGAACTGACTGAGTGTGTGAGAGAGTGCGAGAGTGTGTATGCAGGAGTGTTTGCGTGTGTGTGAGAGATGTTAGTGTGCGTGTGTGTGAATGTGAGAGTGTGACCATGACAGATTGTGTGTGTCGAGTGTGTGATAAAATAAGTGACAAAATGAGTGAACGTGAGAAATTGTGTGTGTATGTGAATGAGTGTGTTTGTGCATGCAGAGTGCCTGCCTGTATGTTTGTGCTTTGTGCATGCATGAAAGTGTATGTGTGTGTGTATATGTGAGTGTGTGGTGTGTGCACGTGCATGCCTGAGTGTGTGTTTGTTAAGGCCCTCACCTGCTCGCCACTGCCCCCCACCACCCCCCCGGCCTGCCCGCGCCTCTGTCTGCTCCCTCACCTATCCATGCCAGCACTGCTATTCTATCTTTGCAGATCTGCTATGAGAGGTGAGCGAACAGTGAATATCAACCCGTTTGTGGATAACGCAAACGAACATTGTAACTGCATAAAAATTCACAAAGCCACTGAAACTTGCCGCTGATTGACGAATTTCATTGTCTCCGACACTGACCACGATGACGGGTAATCACAAGAAACAATGACTGACACAGATTCCTGGTGGCAAGCTGACCACGGCTCCTCATTGAGGTGTTAGTCTAACGTACGTGGCTCTAATATATACCAAAGAATTTCATATCAATCGTAACTACTGAGTGTGTTAGGCTCTGCACAGTCGCTTTGCTAATCAGTGAGGAATTCCCTCTAGCTCATGGCTAATTGTAACAGTTGTTCCATCAGCCCGAATCTGCATCTTCCCTTGTAGAATCTTACAGCACAGAAGGAGACCATTCAACCCATCTTGCCTGTGCTGGCTCTTTGGAACAGCTAGCAATTCTTACCCCATAGCCCTGCAAAAACAAAAAGATGTTTAATTTTTTTCCCCTTTTTAAGTACCTATCCAATTCCCTTTTGAAAGCTATTATCAGTCTGCTTCCATCATCCTTTCAGGAAGTGCATTCCAGACCATAAATTTCTCTGGTTCTTTTGCCAATTATCTTAAATTTTCCCCTGTTTTTTTTAAAAAAACGGTCTGTTGCCTCCCAATCCACAGGCTAACGGATATCATTAAACTAAGGAATTTTAAATGGGTAGCTCGAACCTATCATAGTGTTAGACACAATTTGAACGAAAGCGCAAATGGAATTATTTTTCATTGGTCAGCACAAACAATGGCCAAATATCATACCGCACAAATGACAACAAAAATTAGGCATCCAACCAAAGCCATTTATTCACGCACAGTACAACAAAAACAGGGCCAAATTGACGACATTGTTAACTGCCCCCGACGACAGGAGGTTTCTGTCTGAGCTAGAAGGAATTCAACACAATAGGGTCAGTTCTTTCCCTGCCTTACAATGGGTGCAAAGTTTATAAGTATATTCTGGTAGGTAATCTGTGTTAACTCTTTAACCCCCTGAGGTGTATAGGAGCACATCTTCCACAAACAGGCAAAGGTGGAGTTCCACGGGGGAGGGGATTAAGATAGAGATTGGGAGTGAGCCCCCGGCCTGATTTCTCACCTTCCCCCTTTCTAAAACAGGAGCTGAGGCCGGTTATATTGCTGCTTTCTCTGTGATTTGTTAGGTCAGGGTATTAAGGGATACTGGGCAAGGCCGGGTAATTGGACTTGAGGTACAGATCAGCTTATAGAATGGCGGAACAGGCTCAAGGGGCTGAATGCCCCACGCCTGTTTCTACATTTCTTGAGATCAGTACTCGAAACAATTTACATTTATATAGTCTTTTATGTCAAGAGGATGTAAAGTGCTTCACACAGTTGACTGCGCAACTGAGTTTTGGGGAGGGGGGGAAGCTGAGGAGGGATGGGGTGTTGGAGAGGACCGCAGTAGCGGTCGTAGAGAATGATATTAGCAAGGGGAGGGAAGGATGGAGAGAGCGAGATTAAGGCATAGAGTTCTAGAGAGCGGGGACAGAATGGCTGAAAACCCCATCTGTTGACGGTGGAGCGAGGAGCATGAAACGGGCTCACTGAGCGGAGGGAATGGTCGGAGTGGTAAGGCTGCAGGAGATCGCTGTGATTGGGATAAACCCTATCCCTGCTGTCTACGGATCTCGGGGCTCCACTTATGTGTAAACGAGCATGTTAGGTTTAGAAAAAGGTGCTTTCAATCAAGGGAGCTAACAAGAGCTGGACTCCAATCAGGGTAGTTTGAAGTTCCAGCCCTAAGTGCTAATTGGACACCAGCAACCTGCTAATAAATGAGCGGCGGTGTGGGAGAGTTTGGAGAAGATGGATATAAAAGGCAATAGCTTCCTTAGCAAAACAAAACCAATCTTTTTGCTGTTAAAAATCTTGGCGCAAGTTTTATTTTCCAGGCGCGACCCACGGCCTCCTATGTACGGTTTGAGAAGTGGGATCGCCTTCAGCTGCGCACAAGCAACTTTAGACCTGTGACTTGCACGTAGAAAGAAAAAAAAACACAAGCAAAAATGGAACCCCAATATCCGTAGAAAACAGCGAGAGGATTTAATCCAGTCACCAAGGTAGGGAGGGGCAAACCCAGCACAGACCGAGTGACTGACCTCAGTGACTGACCATCGTTCTGTCTGGCCCAGAGCTATGGGGTGGGTTACTAGGTGGGGTTGGGCACTGGTTTATAATGGTGAACCCTTCTTTAGGGTCACTCTAGAGGGGCTGGGTGGGAGTGTGAGCTCCATCCATCACATCTGCAGGGTTAAAGAGTTAAACGAGATCTGGAAAGGCTATACATAAGTATTTGATATGTCCACGGTATGTACGATACCCTAGGTTTATTTAGTTTTTGTCAAGTTATCTCTGATTGAAATGTTTTGAACTAAACTAAAAATGACTTTCTGTAACCTTTGTTTACCAAATCAATAAAACCTTAAACCTCACTTGCTTTCTCTTGAGTAATTTTCATCCTGCAAAGCTATATTTGGTGGGAGTCCTGTAGCGTAGTGGTTGGAGCACTCGCCTAGTAAGCGAGAGGATCCGGGTTTGATTCCTTAGCCAAGTTTCCTTACTCCACACACCTCTGTTTACCTAGCAGTAAATAGGAACCTGGCTGTTAGTCGATTGGCAGATCGCTTTTTGGTGGTAATAATGCTTCCAAAAGATTTACGTAATTCCCCAGTGATGTGGATTGAGAATCATTACAGCTATGTTGCTATGAACTTTACAGTATTTGGCCCCGCATTGCATGTGCCGGCTCTCTGAGCAAGCTCTTTGTTTAGACCCATTCTCCTGCCTGCCTTCCTTCTGTAGCACTTAGAATGAGATAGGGTTGGAGGCGGATGCCATGGTGGGAGTGGAGTAAGCCAGTATAGGTCGGGAGGACAGCTGAGGGTCGAACTGGACACCAGTGACAATGCATCAAGAAGCTTGTGATATCTCCAGCTGTCACAGAGGATCAGTTACCTAGCCAGGCGTTCTGTAAAGGAGATGATCTGGAGGGTCATGCACCCACTTTGTCCCCTGTTGCTTTATAAGCTAGTCCTAAGCTGCAGTGGATCCCTGCCCAGCCCAGATATCTGTGACACCAATGATAACCACAGGTTTTAATGTGCTAGTAAACAGTTTATACAAGTGTGACTTTTGAAGCTCCCTGGAGCTGAAGTACTGTTCGAAATGTGTTTACACACCTCCCCGCAACAGAGCTCGCTGACTGCCACTCTCCCACTCCCACCCCCACCTGTCCCCTGCAGATATCACTAGATACTTGATATTTGGTAACTGGAATCTTGTGTTAGTGGCGGTGTGTCTCTGCACACGCCTCCAGCTCGAGTCAGCAGAGTGCTCACTAAAATAGCTGTTCATATTATTTTTGGCTGATTCTGTCCCTGAACACAATTGGTCCGACGCAAAATGAACAGAATCTACAAGTTAACTTTGAGTGAGCTTCTGTGGATTTCCACGTGTGTCAGACACCTGGACGATCGTGGTGATCGGTTTCCGCTGGTGACAGACACACGTCCAATCACAGGTGATGGGTTTCCACGTGTGTCAGAATGTGGAGAGGATCAGACAAAGAGGAACGCCGTTTTGCTGGGTCGTGGGGGATTGTAATAACCGTTAACCCTGTCCTGTCTGACATCAAGATTAAAGTTTAAACAGGCAAAGCACTGTCTGCCCAGCACACAATACGGAGTTACTTTCTATTAACATTGCCTTGCCACCAAAACATGATCTGGGAGAACGCTGACAGCTCACTAATTCAGAGCGATGCGGAAAGTTTTGACATTTAAAAGTAAACATTAGGTCTAATTTGCGAGCCGTGCTCAGGATTTCTCAATGCAAGTGCACGGAGGGTAACTACAGGTGCCCTCCATTATATAACTGAACGGCCATTCAAAAGAATTCCAGAATCTCCCATTGCTCCCTCATTGCCCATACTGACAGACATGGTTTGCACGATGTGGGCATTAGACACTGTGAACTGGATCGGATATCATGTCTGCATTGTGGACCCACCAACAGTTACAGGGCAATACTCCGTCACATCCCAATGGAAGCAACCCAAGTACGTCTTGTTCGTGTCTCTGACTGTACAAATACCATCACCAGAGGTCCTGTGGAGAAAGAAAGTTGACCAACACAAGAACAAGTGGTGTTTGACCAGATAAAATCGGTCATTCACGTCATGGCTGCTTGTGAGACATTACTGTGTGCAAATTGGCTGTTGCGTTCACCTACATACACAATCTTTGCAGTAATGCATGTGAAGTGCTTTGAGATGTCCTCCTGGTGTGAAAAATGCTTTATCACATATAATGATTATTATTAATATGGAAGGGTTTGTAACTAGAGCAGGGAATTGGGAAGCGATGAACTGACTCTCCCTTGAAGGAGCAAGCACCAACATTGTCATTTCTACAAATCAGAATGACTTTGTGTCCATTTGACATTTGGTAAAGTATTACAGAAAGAAACAGGAGATGTAGCCAGAGAACAACGTCAAACTCTGGACTATGAGTGAGTGTGGGATTGCTGTAATCTCTATGGTACCGACATGTAATATTCCACGTGATCAATTCTGTGCCAACACATATCAGAGAGTCATTCTGTTCTGTTCCAGCCTATCTGCAAGACATTAATCCTGCACCATTTTCTCCCATTTATGAATGTCGAAGCTCTTACTAAAGTGCCTTAGCGCTTGGCAGCTCTTTTACAGAGATTGACACAGAGACATCAATGGTGAAAGATCGGTTGAGGTTCCCAAAGTATTGCAATAAATAAATCAAACTCAGGTTCGTGCTTAAGCCTGTGTTTTATAAGGAGCTGCCACATTGGAGGTTTGAGGCAGGGGTTCTGTGTTCTGCCTGGCCAAGAGTCACTCTGCTTTGCATGTGGTGCTTAGTCCTAAAGATGATTCCCTCCCAATAATTAACTCTTGTCCATGCAGTTCACTGTTTTGCTGCAAAGATCGTCTGCTTTCACCTCGCATCTGTTCGACTGGCTCCGGCTTCCTGCTTGTCCCTTGTGCTCTCCGTTCCACTATCGGTGGTTGCACTTTCAGCCGCTATGCCCTGAAACTATGCAACACACTCCTTTGATTCCTCCGTCTCCCGCCCACCTCCCCATTTTCAGGTTGCGGCTGCAGACCTTCCTCTTCAACTGTGCTTATGGTCAACCCCCACCAACTAGATGAGCGTCGTGCTCTGCCACTGTCAAGCGCTCTAAGACTCTACCCTGTGTGAGGGGTGCTATATAAACACAAGTTGTTGGTGATGTTGCTGTTGCTTTGAATGTGTAAGATACAGAGCTCACAAGCAGACGGAGCCAGCTGTGGTTTACTAACTGCGCCAATGTCAACCTTGTTATTAATGAAGTGTCTCCTGGTTTAATTACAACATTAATCATTAAGGCCACGCAGACTCAGACATCACCCACCCCACACCTTTTCAGAGTTAAATCAGAAATTGATTTCACAGAATAATTTGGCTAAAATGGAACCGCACACCAGAGGAACAATAAATTATTGAGCTACTTTACACCAGTGTCCAGCTTGGAAATGTTACAGATATTCATGGATATTCAAACTGGACTCCACTAAGTCTCAAGAGTGATTGTGCTTTCCAGCTGAGTCTGTATCCCCTGGCAACCGGCATTTTTATGTAACACAAAATATTTTATTTTGAGTATATCATTGTGATCCTTGGATTTGATCTGGAGCTCTTCACGTTTCTGAGTCTTTCCACGAAGTGTAGTGACTGTATCTTGTGGGCAAAATTCAGCAGCTGGCTTTCCTGAGTCAAGTCACTCAAAAAGAGATATTTTAAAAATTAACAAACCCTCAGAAATACTTCACAAGCTTATTTCACTTTGACATTTGATCGGATAAGAGATTTTTTTTTTGGTGGGGGGAACCAGCCAGGTGTCTGACAAATGTAGAAACCCATCACCATGCTTAAAAGTATCCAAAACAAACTGAGATTTCCATGGCATCCCATCCACACATATAAATCCCAGAGTTGGAATTTAATGTCCTCTCTCCCTGGACGGACGCATCCTGCTTACCTAATTCCAGAAAGTTTTAGTTGCAGGTTTGCAAGAGCCAAGGCTTGGGGACCGCAGAGGGTGCGTTGGAGTAACTGCTGAAGTCTAACCAGTTAGTACATAGCTTGCCATTGATATCACTGTCTGGCAAGCTTTCCCGCTGCTTGTCCAGCTGAAACCACTCTACCTGTTAGTTCTTTGGCTTGCAGGCTTAACAGGGGCTGAGTGGGATGATTCTGCCCTTCCAAGTCCTGCCGATGAGCCAGGCTGGTTGTGCTGTCAGCAGCAGCGCCCTGGAATACTGCGGACCCGCCTGGCTCAGCAATTGGGCCACCAAACCGCCCAGAGGGTTCAGAGTGAAAGCTTTGAAAGATCGTTCCTAAAGTCTCACAAAAAAATCCATTCAACTCCAACTTTTGAAAGATAGCGCCACCCTGCGGCAGAAAAAAACTGTCTTTCTATGGCCTTTACCCACCTCAGGCAAGATATTATACATTCTAAGCCTGTGAGACCACTTTGTCTTAAAATGTAAGAACAGGACAGAAATGAGGAAAATTGCTGCATTCACTTTAAATTTGGAAACCAGCTTTTTTCATAGTTCAAAGTTTCTTTAACTGGCTTCCAAATGTAATAATAATTCTTAAAGTGCTTCGCAGGATATACTGTAGAGGATTGACTGTGTATTTTGTGGGCGGAATTCTTTGATATTGAATCTTTCACGTCAGGAGGACATCTTAAAGTGCTTCACGGGACCTGACTGTAAAATGTAAAGTCTAGTAACTAATTATTTTGGGGGATTGTCAGCCAGCATTCTGGTAGAGAGGAACTCCCTTCTCTCTTCGAATAGAGCCATGGGATCTTCAACGTCCACCTGAACAGGCAGATGGCACACCTCGGTTTAAAGTCTCATCTGAAGGACAGCACCTCTGACAATGCAACAATCCCCCCTCCCACAGCACTGCAATTGGAGTATCAGCTTAGACTGTATGATTCCAAGGCCTGACATGGAGCTTGAACCCACAATCTTCTGACTCTGTCAGGCTGACACACTATAAATTGTAGTCACTGTGTATTTTTGTGTCTGAAAGCACCAGCTAATTTACACGCAGCAGTTTTGCACAAACAGCTATGAAGTGAATCACCAATTTTCTCTGGGGGATTGTCAACCGGGAGATTCTCCCTCGACTGACCAAATTGGGTCAAGATTTGCCGGTTGAGCCGCTGGCCCAGCTGTTATGCTCACAATGTCCAGAAGAGGATGCTACAGACAAACAACCGGTTGCCCAACTAAGGTAAGCAAGGTTGAAGCAGAAGGTCTTGAGGTATGACCTGAAAAGCGTAGTGGCTGAAAGCATGGCTTCCAACAGAGGAGGGTAACGAGGGACAGGCAGGAGGCCAG